TGTGGTTAGTACCTACACGGGTTATAAATGTACTTGAGGGGGGAAAGGAGAATCATTGTTGCCGTTCTGCAATAATTGCTGTATTGGGGGTTTTAAAGGTTTTATAAATAAATTGTATTTTCCATTTACGTTTAATAAAGTTACAAACAGATGTGACAAGAAACGATCGTATATATGGTTACAGCTTTTGTACCAGAATGAAAGTATAGTACTCATTACATTTTCAGTTAAGTTTGCAATGTGATATATTGTTGTAAGGTTATAAAAAATGTTCTTTTTAATCTTTAACAGTATAAAATGTAAATTTTTCTTAACACTTGAAGGAAAAAATAAAGTTTTCTAGTAAAGTAGAATTTGATCTGATCGTCTCTGTTGAAAATAGCACGTGCAAGGTTGTGTTTCTCCAAACTTTGCCTGGTTTTACCAAGGAAGAGCTCGTGCCTGTGCTTCGGGCACATGGGGGCCTGCTCAGTAACAAAAGCAGCGAGTTGACTGTGGCTTCAAAATAATAATGATTTTAAAAAAAAACTAAAAAATACAAAGACAAACACTAATGCGTTTCGGTACCAGAGGCACACGTGTATCTGCCTGTGTGTTTTACGACATTCATTTGTCCCTAAGCGGTAGCTGCCTAGTGCCTCGGAAAATGCCGTGTGTCCATCCAGGTGTGTCTGCTGGAATATGCCAAAGCCCACTTTGCTTCTGACTGACTGGGGCTGAATGTTGCCTTTTACTCACATTGAATAAGAGAACCTGCAGCTGAGGGAGAACCTGCGCCCGGCAGTGACGTGTTGGGTGCTGGTGCCGTCGCAGCCCGTGAGCTCCCAGCCGTCCCCAAGGTGCTCACTTGGGTTGTGGACATTGGGCTCCTTCACTGGCGAGAAGGCGCTGCTGCCCCACGGACGCAACTCTTGGAACGACAGGTGAACCGGGTTCCTGTAATTTCACACCCTTCTGTTTTCTTCTTTAATTCATCGTGTCCAACCCAGTTATGGTTATGAAGGTGTTGCTGATATTTAACTGGGTAGAACGCCTTAGACAAGCGAGAAAAGATGAAGCGTGACCTTCTCCCTCAAACGTTAGGTATACAAATAAAACAGATACATGTGGCATAACCTGACCCCGTGGCACTTGTATGTATCTGTGTAATTACGGCTGGAGAGCCCGTTAATTTGCAAGTTTAGGGATGTTTAGTGCAAGCAGGAGCGCAGTGCGATGCCGGCGCAGGGAGGGCGCGCGGGCCCTGTCCGGGACAGGACAGCAGAGCCAAATCCGGCGCCCGCCTCGTCCCCGCTCCGGCCAGCCCCGCCGCCTTCGCTCCGCGTTGCAGAAATTCCGCTTTTTTCACTCTGAAATTCTGCTTTTTACCCCCAATCCGGGCGGTTTTGGATTCAGAAGAGTGGTCAGAGCCGAGTTGAACTCTTGGCAAGGAGTGAACGGGATTTTTCCCCTCCCAGCCCCCTCTCTCTCTCGGTGACTAATCAGCTCTGGGCACTTTGCCTCGTCTTGGCCCCGCAGAAAGGCTGGGAAATGCGAAATCATCCTTATAGAATTTAATATTCAATAGAGCCCGTTAATTTGGTGCTGTAAATACTTCGGGGAAGATGGAAGTCCAGAGGTCTCTCTTTTGAACCCGATCTCCGCTGAATTTCCGCCACTTTCTTCCTCCCGCCTTGGCTCTAGCTCCCCTCCCCACCCCCAGCCCCGTTAAAATTAAGATTTGGTTTTGTTTGTATTTATTTGCAGCTCGGAAGAGGAGTGTTGATACAGTGAGACGGTAGCCAGGTTTCCCCGATGACATATGGTACATTAAAACCGATTCCAAACGGCAAACACATTTGCGGCTGTGCCAAAATGCTCTTTTCACTGTAAACCCCACTTTCCTAATTCCAAACGGGAGCACATCTTCCCTTTTTTCCCCTCCTCCCCCCCCTTTTTTCGTGATTTTCTGTCTTCCGCCGAGCACCTTAAATATTCCCTAATTGAATAGTTCTCCGGCACTCTCCTTATAGCAGTTTAATAGATTAACTCATCTGTGCCAGCTTCGAATTTCAGATTAAAATTCCTTCATCCCGAAGGCAGCATTATCAGGTTGTTGGAGGCTGTTTTCAAACCTTGGTTTTGAATAGCAGCGGCTCTGCATTAATTTAACCACTAAGCTAATAAGTAGGTTTCGTTTTGTTATGCTAAGCTTTATTGCTTTTCTTTTGATCAGAATGGTGTTGTTGAGCAAAGCAGCAGACAAGGCATTCTTTGATGAGGGAATTAGTGCTCTATTCTCCCTCTATTATTCATAGCACAGTGGAATATGTAAGTACCTGAGGGTGTCAAAGGAGAGCAGGCTCTATTGCAAAGTGTTCGCCTTGTTTCTCTCAATAGCTGACTATGAGATGATAAACCGCTTAATACACTGCACTAATTGGATGAGAGCAGAAAGAGATGGGAATTAAGGCGAGGCGAAAGGAGAAAGTGCTACGAGCCCTCATTCACTCCCGCAGCACTTTAGCAGCGCCAAAGGAGGCACAAGCTTTCTATAAGCAGACTAGGGGTTTTGTGCGGAGATAAAATGAACCTGTTAGTGGATTCAAGTAATACACTAATTATTGCACAGTATAAATACCACTACTGGTTTTATAACACGGAGGTAAACTTCTTTTGAGAAGGTTATAGGATTGCTTGGCAGCAGTATAGATCCTAATAAGGGACCAGAGTAATAACCCCCTGGATTAACAAAATTGCTGCTTGCAGAAGTATGATTCTGGCTTTTACGAAGATTTCAGCAGAATGAATAAAAATGACTGAATGACATTTCTTAATGCGTAATGGCTTGATAATGATTCCCTTTTCTTTAAGGAAAAAAAAAAAGTATATTTCAGACTGTACCGTTAATAACGTCCAGGGAACAGGCGGGATTTTTTTTTTTTTTTTGTGCCTGTGGTGGTTTTTAGGGCTCTAAAAAATGCGGTGTGCGGGGAGGGGGCAGTGAGGGTTTTAAAGCGCTGCCGGG